GTATATATAACCCTATATCTGACTCTTTTAGTTTTAGGACTTACAGACAACCGTTATGTGAACAAAACTATAATACTCTCTTTAGCAACATTGTTGCGAGAGTATAAAAATGGTAAATGTTTTATTAGGTCGACTACATAGGTACACTGTATTTCCATGCCTCATATGTATATCTATGGCACTGTTGCCAAAATAAACCACTACATCAAACAAAATTGACAATTGGGAAGTAAAATATTATAAAGCCGCCTTTAGTTTCTAGAGAAGCATGAAGCAATATCTTGAGGGAGTAGATAAAGTTGGTGCGAATTTTGTATATTGTATGGAAAATTAAAAACCTGGTGTTTTCGTTCACCCTTGGAAAATATTGAAAACTACTCATAACATTAAGTATCAAGCATTTATCAGGTACAGAAAGAAAAATAAACGAAACCACTTGAAACTATTTAAGTTTAATATAAACTAATTTAAGCATCGATAAGTCACAACATGGTTTAATTATTTCACGAAAGATGCAATAGTTAGGTAGCAATTTTATGCCGTGTATTTTGTCAAGGTAAAAATTATTAACAGCAACTATTGTGGAATACAGATTGAGGACGATGCAACATATCTCAAACCCAACAAAGCGATGGCAAATTTACATCCAAGGAAACATTGGCATATTTATAAAAATGCGCTTAGAATTCCTTTCGCATCGACTAAAGACTTTTCCCCATGATCAGGCCGTAATACAAACTGTAATTGAGGTCTGTGTGGATTTAAAAAGAATCTAATTTCTCTAATTAATCCACAACACACATATATTGGGTAGTCGAAAAAGTCTTTTCCTATTTAGATAATAGACGTCGTTGTAGTCGCATAAAAAAAAATATATATATAATGTTGGAAAGGTAAGATTTTGAGTTTCATTTAACCAAAAAAAAAATCAGATATATTGAAAAAAGTTACAGTTCTCATTTATGAACAAAATAAAATGAAGAAATTTACTATATTTTGAAATTTTTGTAATATAAAAAAGGGAAGAATGACACGCAAGGTACCAATGAAATTTGTGAAGTTTACGGAGACGATGCTCTATCAGTTAGTGTATCACAACAATGGTTCGCTCTCTTTCGTTGAGGAAATTTCGAAATTTCGATTTTTTACGGTTTACACCGATGGAATAATGTCTCTAGCGAAAAAATGGCAAAAAGTGGTCGACCAAAATGGTACATATTTGTTTATTTATTTCTTACTAAAAATTAAAAAAAAAATAGTTTAAGTTTTATTAAAAATACGAAAAGACTATGTCCACTTTCCAATACTATTAATATCAGGATCAAGCAAGTGTTGCGAAGTAAATTCTTCATTTTTTTACATCATCAAATGGCCTTTGTGTATAATTTTTCACCTAGATGGGTAGTTTAATATATTAGATATACAATTTTTGGATTTATGAGAGAAATTATGAAATTGAGTTATAGTCAAAATCGTCTTCATCGTTCAATCTTTGTTTATACTGATAAAAATTGGTCGTCTAAGTTAACGCTGCCTAAAAGCATGCAACGAAAAACTCGTCGAAACAAATTATTTAGTTGTCATGTACATGTGTATATCTCTGAAATAAAAAAAGCAACTTTTGGAAACAATGACGACCAAATATTTAAATATATAAATTAAATTTTGTGTTTATTTTTTATTTACGTATAAAAGTATATAACAAGTTAAAATAACTAGTATATGATTTGATGTTTTAAATATAAATATGCACATATAAAATAATGAATTCGCAAAGCCAACTGCTAATACTGACTGATGGATAAAGTTACAAAGAATAGGTATATCAATGTTTGTGAAAATATTGTTTACTTAGAAGTATATAAACATATATATTTGATATATATGATTGCCGTGAAACTGTTTTTTATATTACATACATATTTTTATAAAATATATATAATTTATAAATAATTCTAGCAATTAAATTATTATATAGTATAACATATATATACACATACATATATACACATACATTCGTTTGTAAAGACTATTTAATAAATATTAATTAATAAGGTACACATGGTGCATTGTGCGCTCTGCTGCGCTACTAGGATAATCATACCAATTATTACTTTTCTCTAAGCTTAAGCAATATTTACAATTATTAAACTATATTAAAAAAAAAAAAACATTTAAAATAGTATAAATATTATGTATTTAACGGCTATTAGCTGGAATGTTTATCTTGCTTGCTATCGCCTGACTGGCTTTAAAGCTTTAAAGCTGTGTTGTCTACAGAAAGCTTAGCAGAAGAAATCCTCTTCACATTTGTTGTAACAGCAATATGGTATGTTGTTGTAGCTGAGCGCATGTTCACGCTTGTAGCGTCCCTTCTTGTCGTGATGCAGCTTTTTCGGCTTGTAACGTGGAAAGACATCGACTTTACTCAGAATTTTGAAGTGCTCTTGGCCCACTTTCAGATAGCCACCATGTGGGTATAAGCTGCGGCTGATGAAGTGACGTTTATCATTCAATTTTGGATCTATATGCGTAAGTGCGTGGAAAGAGAGAAAAACAATTTAATGAAATTTCATTCCACATACAATATAATTGTCAATAAAAATCTAAAGATGTCAGCAAATATTTATGTTAAATATATGTAGTTGCTATGGAAGCGAAACAGTAAATGCGTGGTTTCAAAAATCTGCATTGACGCAAATTGCCACTTGCTTATAGCAAAAACAAAGAACCCGATCAATAAAACGGGTAAGAGAAGCGACAAAGTTTTATTTTTGCGCTAACTGGGTATAAATGTGTACCGAAAAATATTTACTCAAACATGCACAAGTATGTATATATGCGGTACGCATATGTTCCAAAGTGAAACAAAAAAACCAGCTGCTATTGGATCTTTAAGCTATATTAAGCGTTTTTGCCAAACAATTTTCTTATGGATACAACAACAAATTTATTGTAAATCGCTATATGAACCGAAACTACTACTATAAACTAAAAACTCGCAATAAATATCAGCTAAATATCATACTTCCGCCTCTAAATTGCGAATTTGCTTAAAACAAAAAAAAATATAATTTTGTAATATATTTGCGTTAAACCTACGTGCAATTTGCATTCGCCGTTTTAGCGACAGAAACTGTAAAATTGAAATGCAATGCCAAAGTTGACTGACTTGGCGGCCTTTCCATGTCAGCCAGTCGCCACATGTAAACACTGGCACGTTGTCATGCTTGTCTGCCGTTCGATTTAAACTAATATTTTTTTTATTTTTTTTTTTATTTTGTAAATGTTTTTTTTTTTTTTTTTTTTTTTTTTTTTTTTTTTTTTTTTTTTTTTTTTTTTTTTTTTTTTTTTTAAATTTAAGAAAGCATTTTTGTGCACATTTACTGTTGGCGTAGCAACGACATAAAGCCAAAGCAAATATTTATAATTCCATATACGCGCTCAAGTGCATGTAAGTCAATATATGCACATAAGTATGCGCGCAAGTGCAAGTACATCTAGTTTAACACTTAATAAAATGTTTTGCATGCCACTTATTAACACCTTCAGTGATATTCCAGTTGACAATAAATTAACGCGTGCCAAATTCATGCACTTGTCACACGTACGTTGCATTTCCTCCTACATTCTTTACACGTTTTACAGTCTACAACTCAACTTGTGTACACACGTACTTTTGTACAATATAAATGCTCAAGAACATAAGCATTTGCTGGCAAAAAAAGTTCATTAAATTTAATTTCATGTACAACTTACATTCATTGTGATGTATGTAATTGTGTTCGTATGGCAGGGGCAGCGAACGCTTCTCTCTACCCTCATCTTGTTGGAATAGGTGCTCACACGCTTCCATGGCGAACATCTTCATTTTTTCCAGTGAGCAATAGGCATGGCTTTTGGCCAGCACGCCGCAAACAAGAAGTGTGGGCAATAATATTCGCAGCTGGAAGATAAAGAAACATAAAAGATATTAATATATTGTTGTTGTTGAATTTTAGTGTTGTTGTTTAGTTAATCAAAATTTAATGTATTTATATTTGTTTGTTTTATGACACCCTATTGTATGAAAAAAAGTTCGATGCCAGTTACGTATACGCAACCGCGCACCAGATATATGCAATCATAGATATTATATAAAAGACTTAAGACACGAACACCTACATTTTTCATTCTCATAGGGTTATTGTAAATATCGTAAAATATGCGTTAATGTTTATTATTATACCATATACTTATATAGAAATTAGAGATATATCATGTAGAAAAAAATTGTTTCATTAAAAAAAAGCAAGGAAAAACAAAGCTAGAATGCACTACACAAGTAAGGGAGTTTTTATACAAGAATTTAATTTAAATAGGTTAGTTTGTATAATTGTTATTTGCTATAGTGGTCCGATTCCGACAAATGAGCAGCTTTTGTGAAACTTGTCTTATTGGTAATGGTTTTATTTCACCCATCTAATTAATAGATTAAATGTATATTAAGAGGCTATACCAGTGTGGCACTTTCAAAACGCAATAAATACTGCAAGACTTTTTTGACAACCTAATATTTCCATAAATATCCTGTGAAATCGGGTCGTATCTTGAATAGTTTTTGGATGGCAGCGCTCTAAAGAGCGACCGCTCGGAGATGGAAACATATGTAAGTGATACTTTAAACGCGTTTTTCCCGAAGCGACATTTTTTCTTAAAAATCATTTTCATCTTAAAAAAACGTGTTTTCTTTTAAATTACGCCATTTTGTTAATTTTTGAAAAAAAAAATCTTAAAACATACCTTATTACGTTCAAAGAAGTTCGAAATATTTAATAGCGTACTTTCTCATAAAAAAAATTCAAGGAAATCGCCTAATTTTTCATGCGTACTGGTATAGCCCCTTAAAGATGAATTTTTCATTAGTAACAATTTTTCTGGTAGGATTGGGTGATTGATAAACGAAGAATGCACTGCGACCTGAGGCTTATTGTGCCTTATCCTAAATCACAAAGACTTTAACATTTTGATATAATTCAAATATTCTGTTGGATACCATATTTAATATGGATCCAAGGGCTTTGGTGTTTCAGGCTCCCAGTCGCAGAACCGGCAGTTTACGCAAGAAGATAATTCCATGTTATGTAAGAATTTTTTCAGCTTGCAGTGGCCAGTATAAAATGCAACCAGTAGTCTGAGTTTATTCGTAGGGAGGTGGATTGCAAATTTAAACCTGCTGAGGTTATACCGCCCATTAGCAACTTGCCATGAATTAGTTGCCAATCCCTCTCTCTCACTACTCCGTCATTCTTGTTTTTTCGTTGCGTTTTTTTTTTAAATAAATGCAAATAACTGCGTTAAGCTATACGATATTGAATGCAATAAAGGTGTTTATTATATAGAAAGATCAGATCCGAATAATAGTTTCGACGATACAGCCGTGTGAACTTATGCTCTCGATGCTAGCTAGACTAAGTGCGCCGTTTATCTCGAAACTGTGTTTTGTCAAGTCGGTTGGCAAGATTTCTCGAGAAGTACTCAACGGATCTTCATGACACTTACAAATCTTAAAAACTAAGAAGAAGAATTTTTTTTCGATTACAACTATTCGAAAAAAATTAATTCTTTTGTAAAAAATGTCTGTCAAAAATCCAATTTTCAGTTCTTTTTCTTTGTATAAGTTCTAAGTTAAGGTTTTAACTAAAACACGCATTTTGTCATTTTAAATGTCACATTGACCGAGTTTAAAATAGTTTTTTCCAAAAGTTCAGAATTTATTTTCTAACTGTACTGTTTGCAACAATAAACAATTCTAACAAAATATTTAATTTTTATGTGAGAAAAAAATGCTTGAAAAAGGCTGTTTTTCCCCGAGGAAACCCACGTTATTCCGTTAATAAGCATTCAATCTGATTATATTAGAAAGTATAAAAAATATATTTAACAATAAATACTAAAATATATGTAAAATATCGGGCAAAAATTTATTATTTGCATTACTTATTTTTTAACAATTAATTGTGCCGGTTTTATGATTAAAAAAATCACAATATTCCAACAACACGACAAGAGTCATCATGAGCGAGAGTTTCACTGGCACAGTCATCATTGTCTTTGAAACCCAATTTCACTTGTTATGAAATTCGTATACTCATGCATACTGACGGTACGCAAAGATGCCAGCAGCTACATGCATAAATACGTTTCCATACAGTAAATGTTGGCTGAGTGCTTAAGACCAACATAAATTGACTATTGACTTAATGACTCAGATGTTTTATTTCTGCTATTTCTTTAATTTGTATCCAACATGTGTGTTTCAACTTATTTCCCTACAAAAATGATAAAAATTTTGTTCTTGTTTTGATTGCAAAATTGTGGCCAGCGCTTTGCCTTATTTGAAAACTTGCACATATCGAACTTTTGCAACACACTGCACATACATACACATACATAAGTAGCTGTGTACACACAAGCGCCGCAAAAAGATGCCGGCATTAAATTAAGATGCGGAAGTATTTGCGATAAACAATGTAAGAATGAGGCGTTTCGTGCAAATGCAAAATATGCCGAATTGCCAAACTGAGTGCAGAGAACATTGGGCAGAGAGGTAAAGCCGAAATAAAACGTTATTTTTAACTGCATCGCGCTACGATACAGCAGCTGTGAGAAATGGAAAGTCCCAAGGCAAAGAAGAAAAGAAAAAAATGTATGAAATTGCACTTTCGGATGCTAAGATTTTATGTTTTTAATGGAATTCAAGTAAGAATATTATAACTATTAGTTAGTGGGTTGATTGTTGTCGGTTTTTGTGCACTAATTAACCAGCACTACACTGCACTTACCGTTATATGCATTTTGATTTGATTTCTTTTTTGAAGTGGATTTAACTATTAAAACTTAATAGCACACAGTTATTTTTTGTTGTAACACTTTATTAATCAAATTAATTAAAGTAGTTTTTACAGTTTTTTTTCTTATTTTTATTTCAGCTGCCTTTGTAAAGGTGCCGTTTTGTCACTTCTTAGTCTTTTATACAATTTGAAAATTTTCTTTCTTTGTTTTTCAACACTCGCACGAAAATATCAAGAAAAGGTCTACATAAATAGACTCAAATTTCACTTATTTCACACACGTAGAGTTAACCGTAATCCAAGCACTGTATGGCTCCGTGCACTTTCCGTTCTTAATTGTACGTGAATTCGGCGCGTTCAGCGATATGTTTCATAATTAAAATATCGAGTGCAAATGAAAGCGCCAATTTCAATTGGTTCATTTATATATTCGCGTCGACTTGACGACAGGTAATGAAAGAAAGGATTGCCGCTACACACACACATGCACGCACACACAGAAACACAAACCGAAGCACTCGCTAACAACAAAGCGAACAACACAAGCGCCGTTTAACGCAAAGCGGCTAAGAGCGCCGGCAAGGTGGCGCTCAAATGCAGAGCGCAAACATTATTAATTGAGAGCAATTAATGCGATCGCTTAGCTACACATCAACTACTGTTGAATACAATAGAAACAAGAAGCGGTTTTAAGTTGTGATTGATTAGGAGATAAACATAAGCAGCAAGTGACGAACGCTAAGACACGAACACACGTTCGAATTAATAGCGAATTAGTAACAAAACAACAACAGCACGATATAATTTTGGGTGGGAGTAGGAAACTATTTGACAGTTTATAAATCAAACAATGCAACGTCAATTCCGTTTTTAATTATTTGCATGTTTGCAGATAAGCCAACAATTATTTTCATATTTTTGATTTTTGTTGCATTCTTTATATACATATGTACTTCGTGCATATTCACACGCACATACAATTATGGTAAGAAAAAATCGAGTGCTTTATATTATTAGCTGCTCGAACTCAAGTATTCATTACCATAAGTTAAATAATCCAAATTATTATCCGGTGCGCGTCGCTATGACTTGTAAGAAATATAGAAGTTTATTATTATTTTGATAGTAAAATTGATTAATTTGTAAACGTTCTTCTTCGATATACTTTCCATGATAAAGTGAAAACAAAACTTACAGATAATGTTAAAAAAATTTTTCAAAATTCAATACGATGGAATGGGAAAGTAGCTTGTATCCTAATTAAATTTGGTAGTTTTAACGCACAGAACTGTGAGCATATGCATTGTCATGTCGAAGACAACTTTTTTTTTTTGCCGAATTAGACCTTTATCTTATCAAATTCGGGGTCAAATTTAAGAATCCACGCAATGGTTTTAGGTTTTCTGTATGGCTTAAAACTTGTAAAACTCTATTTAATGATAACATAAGTCTAGAACCTATCGAGTAATATATGACAATGATAAAGTCTGAAGCAAAACATAAGGAGTATATTCACTATACAAAGACGACTAAATTTGGTATAGGGCGTTCCTAGGTAACGAACGAGCGGCTGGACAGCTTTGGCTGACAACAAAGCCATCGTCCAAAATAAATTTGTTCGTCCTGGATAAACCGTCAATTCCAAGTTTTCGTGGAAGTCTTCAAGAAGGTCATACGAATCCGTGAAAATATTGCAGAAGATTGAAAAATACACCCCGACAACGCGCCGGCTCACCTAACCAAGGCTGGCATCCCAACGCTTCTGCAGCCGTTCTACAGCTCAGATGTGGCTTTCTTTGTTTCCTTGCCTAAAAAGGCCGATGAAAGGCAAGCGTTTTGAGACGACAGAGTGGATCCAAGCAGCATGAATCTCAACAAGGCTATTGCTTGGAAATTGCGCTGACAGCGCTGCAACGATGCAGAAGGAGCCTTTTCTGAAAGTCTATAAAGAATTGGTTCAATCATTTTTTTTAAATCGACTCAGTCCTTTCCGGAAAAGCTCCGTACACACCAGCTCTGAGAGTATTCCACGCAGTACCCGAAGAAGAAATAGAAATTGTGAAGTTAAGCTATCAAGGCTGTACTCAGTTACTTAAGTCATTACGTAAGCAATTCTTTGAAATTGTGTTATTTATTTGAAATAACGGAAATAATTTTGATTGATTCCCCCTAACATTCTCTTTCTTTGAGCCACTTTTGCAAACAGCATTCATGCCTCATTCATTCGGGGGCTGGAGCGAACACGCAACCATAAATATGGGTAAAAAAAAAAAACTTGACAAATTGAAGGTGTGTTAAAAATAACACTGCATTTGTACTTATTTGTGTCAAAAGTTATGACATCAGAAGAATAACGATACCGTCGCATCAGCCCACTAATTCATCGATTTATCTGGATGGTTGTGGCCTCCACAAACCAGTACTTTATAATTCCAGATGCATGACATCAAAAGTTCAGTGAACTACTTGCCAGACTCAGGTGATATATGCATTTGCTCATATATTTATAAGTTGTAGCTGATTGCATTTAACAACCATTAAATAATAAAGTATGTTTCTTAATTAACTGAACAAAGATATTTCTTTGTCGGGACGCGTCAAGACGCGATCAAGTTTTTGGTCTATGCCAAACGAGGAATGCAAAAATTGTGTGTGCATAAAGTCTGCTCATGTATCTTTAAGCATTCCAGTTTGCTGCGGATTCCGGTCACTATCAACAATAAAAAAAAAACAACAAAAAGCATCGCTAATGAATTGGCGATATTTTCAGGCACCTGAGCTATCAGAAATTCAAAATTATTCTTTCATAAACGTAAAGCAACGTGTCTGTAATTAATTTTTTTCTGCTCTAAGATCTTCATGCAGCACTTGCATATGTTTACAAAAACATATATTTTTGTTGTTGATTTTAGCAAAATTTAAACTTTATGAATTGAAATTAAAAATGCCATAGCAATGGTAAAATATATATAGGTTTTATAAAAATTGGTAAGGAATTAAGCAGTTTGAGAAGAAATTCTTTAACTTAGTCTCTACTTTCATGGATTTCTGAAAATTTAAAGCGGATAAAGAACTCTTTTCAGTTCAATTTTGTTGTATCTTAACATAAATAACTCAAAATACTTCTTTAGGGCTCATTCACACTGAACCAAACTACGAGGAATTTCAAGGTTATGTATATAATGCTTGACCCCTACATAATACATATATTGGGTATAAGAACAAAAATCAACCAAATAATTGGAAATGATTCCATTCCTATTCAACGCTAGACGACATTAGGGTTAAGAAATCCATTTAATTTCATTAAAAATCACATTTTGACCAATATAATATTTAAAATCTGACGGAAATTTTTAATGAATGGAAATCGCTGAATAAAGTATGTTTAGCAGAAAATCTGGACTGATTGCAATCGCTTTTGCCATTACCAAAATATACTCGAGAATATGCTTCTAAACAATTTTAGAAAAATAATTCACATATTTACTGACTCCTTCGGTATCTAGTCTGCTAGAATAACAAAAATCCTTATATCTAAGTTGATCCATTTCAAGGTTCAATACTTTTTTAAAGAAAAAACACAGAAACTTCAAATTTAATAGGGAGTGTTTTTTTATAATTCGAAAGAACATTTTTTAACAGTTTATTCGAACATTTCGATTGGTAACTGGGGGGTGAAACGGATGATCCGCATAGGCTTTAAACTTTACATATTCCCACAGCTGCAATATCATACGATCTTTGTGGTGTTGAACTATATGTGGAAAGTGGCGCCGTCTTGCTGAATTTCGCCGAGATCAGAAGCTTCAATTTCAGGCATCGAATAGTCGGTTATCATGGCGCGATAACGCTCATCATTGCCGGTTACGTTCTACCCAGTAAAATTTTTGAAGAAATATGGATGATTCCATCGGCTCACAAACCACACCGAACTCTTAAATCTCTTCAGGTCGCACTTCATCCAAATGCGGATATTTCGCTTGTTTACATACCCATACTCAAAAATTGGCTCGAAATCGTCAGATCTTCTTTGATATTCGCAAGAACCTATAGATCGAGCGATATTGCTTGGTAAGCGGCTTCACTTCTTGCACAAACTGTATTTTGTAAGCTTTCAATTTAAGATCTCGACGTAAAATACTCAAAATTATTCAAGACATCAGTCCGAGTTGCTGTGAACGGTACTCAATCGGCTCTCCATGGGCTTCGTGTACACTCTCTGCAACGGCTGCTATGTTGTTTTTCACTACGTGCTGGGCATGGTCTATTCGATTGAAAATTATCCAATAATGAATGCTGTCTCTCAAGATGAATGATTGTGTGGCGATTATGTTGACCATAAGTTTACAGAACGTTAATTTTCGTAATAAAGTTGAACGATTTGTAAATATTGACACGACTCACGCGTGATCTGTCGGAAAAAGTCTATTGAGAAAAGTACCTCTACATGGATCACCCGTTATTCATTAAATGCGAGTTTGAGTAATTCATAGATCAATTTCATATTTTTTCGAAATTAAGCTCTTTTATATCCAATATTGTACGTTTACTTTATTATTCGGTATATACATACATATATGGATATACACTGATTTAGTTGGCCACTTCCTTTCTATTTCAAATATATATGCTTGTATGTACATGTATGTTATATGTATAATGGAAAATACGTCAAGTACATACATACAATAAATTTATGTATATAATATGTATTTACGTACTCGGTGGAATTTCCATTGTTTACGCATCGAAAATTTGTAATATGCGCACAGTTTCAAAGCTGATACATTTTTTGCCACACATGATACAAATCAGTCCAGCAGAAAATTGTTGTTGTTTGTTGTACTTATAGAGTTACCCAAAGATTTACTCGTAGATTTACTTATAGTTTACCCAAAGCTTCACATCAATTCAAACAATTCTCGCAACGCTATGAACTGTCATGATACGATTGTAACCGAAGCCAGCCATACAGTTTACTCGATCGTGATTGCCGAAAAACAGATTGCACGTGTTGACGCTGGCGGCTGCTCGAATTGATTAACAATGTTGTCTATGCTGAACTGGATTGATTTGATTGTGTTTTTGGTACTACTGTTTGTGCTGATTTTATCATACTCGTTGCAGCTCTCTGACTCATATAAAGAACGGGACTCGAGCAAGCAAATTTTTACCGGAGAAAGAAGGTCTCTAAGTTTTCTTGAGATACCTCACATATTGACCAATATATGAGATTAAAGTCAGTCAAATGTTTGAAAATCCTTATGTACAATAGTTATGTATATAGGAGGGGAAACACTGACTCGATTTTATTAATTTTCGGCACAAGGGTATATTAGATATATATGCTTTTTAATTTCTTAAGA